GCTTGCGATCCCGTTGCCAGTCCCCGGTCCGGTACGGGAGCGGCACCGAGGGTTGCGATCCCGTTGCCAGTCCCCGGTCCGGTACGGGGGCAACACTGAGGGTTGCGATCCATTGCCAGACACGGAAAAAGACAAAAAAAATAAAAATAAAAAATAAAATAAAAGGCCAGGTTTCAGTGAATTGGTGTGAATAGATCACCCACCAAAATGACAGTCTTCTGTGCTTTTCTTGCAGAAATGCACATTCCCACGGGTGCACGTGATATATGCTAAAGCCCTCCCATGGGACAGTGTAGGACTTTCAGCAAATCTCTGCCCACTCTTGGACTTTATTTCCTCCTTTTAAATGGAAGAGCTTAAACTGTAAAATTTCTTAAAGTGTTTTGAGCTCTAATGTGCTATTACTTTAGGGGTACAAAAGAAAGGAACTGGATAAACATGAAAAGGAGAGAGAATACAAATTGAATTTTAAATTTTAGGGAGATAAATATTAAGGTTTTTCTTTCCATCGGTCCTTTGGATGCAGCCCGTTTTTCTTCTGTACCAATTTTATGAGCAGTAGCTTCCCAAGAATGACTCCGGTCTTTGGAATCACTCCTTTAATTTGAAAGATGGAGTGGTATGTGTGAATATATTTTGTTTTAAAGGAAAACGTGTGTGTTAATTCTGTGTGCACGTGTTGACTTTCTCGACCACAGCTTCTGAGGAAAAGGCACATAGGGAATGACATCGTCACCATCGTCTTCCAGGAGCCTGGAGCACTTCCTTTTACTCCAAAAAGCATCCGGTCTCACTTCCAGCACGTCTTTGTCATAGTCAGAGTGCATAATCCATGTACCGAAAATGTGTGTTACAGGTGAGTCAGCAACCCCTGGTTTATTCTCCCAGGTTTGTCTCAACAGAACATCTTTCCCCCAAATATCTCTGTTTTCCAGTTATTGTTTCTAACCTCACGATTTTCTGATTCCCATTGTAATCACTCAGCTACCTTCTGTAAGAAACAATTGCCTCCTTCCTATTTTGTGCCCTGAAAAAGTAAAATGTCCAGCAGTTCAAAATGGTCAATTACACATTTCCTCTGTTTTCCCCTTAAAAACTGCATCCAGCCCCTGCCAGAACCAGTACCTTGGTTAATATCAGCCTCTGAGTTGGAGGATGTGGCTGTTTAAGATCCTCTCTAGGAGAAGTAAGTATTGTGGTCATAAAGCACGGCTTTTTGTCAGAGACCTTGGAAACACTCAGTTACCACGGGTCAGCTGCACGGAGGAGCTGAGTCTCGCTTTGTGACCTCGGAAGGCTGTGGCTGCACCTTGAAGTCCCACGCTGTTGCTGACGGGGCCCGGTTTGGGTCTTTACCCCCCACTCCCAGACTCTGTCTTAGGAAATACCCACAACCGAATGACCGTGCAGTGTCGGGTCTGGGTAAAAGACGGGCCTTTGAGCCCCGTTTGAATCCTGCAACCCCATGCTTGCCATGGGGCTTTGTGTGAGTTCTTTTAGCTTTCTTAGACTTTGATTCCTCGTCTTAAAATTGAGGATAATAGTACCTACTTCAAAATGCATTTATGAAGAATAAATAGCTTAAATTATGCAGAACACCTATTAGAATTCCTGGCATTCATCCAAGTCTATCTTCCTTTATAATCTTAAAACAGTAGTTGCGAATTCAGCTCTCTTGGCCAGGGACATGATTATTCCTTTGAGAGAGTGGAGAACCAGTGGAGACAGTAGAGCATGCCTCCTCAAGACAGAGAGGAAACCAGCCTGCAAGTCGGGTATTGCCCGTTTACATCCCGTCCAAGACCCAACCCATCTTAAAAGAACAAAGTCTGAAAACCAGTAGTTCCAGCCTGTTGAACGTAGCGGTCTCTGGCCCTGCTGTGCAGGGTTCTCACGTAACAGACCTGAAATCCACCCATCTGCAGGTCTTTCTCCCATGGCGATTCTTATACAGGTCAGGTTTAAGACCACTGGCCTAAATGCTTAGAACCACTTAAAAAACTGATATTTGAAAAAATAGAGTATATATTCTGTTCAAATGATGTGCTTAAAATAGATCATACTGGTGCAAATATGGCGAGCTGGCTTTTTCTTTTGTGGTCTCACCCAATAAGTGGTAATTGTCAAGACTAACCTAAAATGAACCTTCCTAATGGATTGGAAACTTAAGCCTCGGGCTTTATTATGTTTGGTGTTATTTATCGGCTGCTATTTTTAGGTCAATTCTATTCTTTTTAATGACTTTCTATCTTTAGTTTATGCCTTAACACAAAAAAATCTTAAAGATAAGTAACATCTATTCATTTTTATTTCTTTCAGGCTTTCTGGTTTTAATAAAATCACGGGGGGAGGACTGTTTTTGAAACTGGTATAGATCGTACATATAGACAGAGTACATTGCCATAATTTTTTCTGTGATAGAAGGTAGCGTATGCACACCATTCAGAGACAGAGTCACGGTTTTTTAAGAAACCACATTGTCATCACTAAATTAACATTTACTAATGCGATTCAAATGTAAAGTCAATAGAGTGTCCGCAAATTTTTGCAAGTGTCTCATCAGCCTCAGTGATCACGCTTAAAAACATCTCTAGTATTCCTCAAAGAATCAATAATGATCTTCAGGAATACTGTCAATTAGTTCCATAACATTTAATGAAGCTGTGCTACTCTTTATCACACGAACAAGGTTGGAGTGCCCAAATTTTCCAAAAACACCTTTTCCAGGTCTGTTTTCAATGATACTCCTCTAAACATGCCAATGGCAAAATAAATTCACTAAAATGGTTTCCAAGGAAATGATAGAACATGGTCCAGGTCTGCTGTCCATTTCCATTGCTGTGGCTTATTCCAGGGGTGCATTTTAGGGAAGGCTGATCAACTCTGCAAAATCAGCTCCGTGCAAAGCGCGTCTTCCCGTAGCTGGCTGCGCAGACTTACAATCCGGGCTCAGTAGCTAACGGTCAATTGAGAGTAGAGAGGTGTCTGCAGAAGGTGATGACTGCCATTTCAGAAAACAGTAGCCCTTCTGACAAATTAGGTGATAAGGTTAAATCAATTATTAAAGTGACCGTGACATTGATGATGTCGACAGCAGCAGCAGTTTGGGTAACAGTGGCTTCCACGTGTCATTTTGTTTAATCCTCGCAGTGGGCTTTTGCATATGGCACTGTTTAACGCCCATTTTACAGATGAGGAAACTGAGGCACTGAAAGATTTTTGTAGCTAGCTCTGCCTCATTCAGGCAGTGGTGGAGCCGGAACCCCAGCAGGAGCACCTGACTCTGGAGTCACCCTTCACCCCTTTTCTTTACTGGTGGCCTTTTGTTTGACCACTGGGCTTTACTAAAACCCTTTCACGTGCATATTAGGGAATGTTTATCTCTTCTATTTTTGCTTAAACCTAGACCCTCTTGTCTCAACACATTGGGAATCATTCAAATCTGGTAACAGAATAAATCCTTCCAACCTCAACTCTACTTAAAGAGTGAAGGATCGTATAATTTTTGTAACCAGGGATCTCTAATTGATCCCATACCCGGAATATCACAGTGATGGTGGGATAGCTGTGACTCAATTCAGCTGCTTCTCCTGTACATCTTTAGGATGCACATAGGATCATGGTTTATTGAACAGGAATGTCGCCTACCTCTTAAAGAGAATCCAATTGCAAGTTGAGTTTGTAATTTGGAACAAGACAAATTGTCATTTTAAAAGGTAGGGACACTACGCCTCCTTCTACCACCATGGAACTCCACAGCAAGAGCCGTCTTTGAGCCTATGTAGATATGAGAGGTTTTCCCTGACACGTTAGCTTAAGTGCGTGCAAGCTGCAGGCAGAGAGTAGCGTGAGATCCACAGAGGCAGGTGCAAGAAAGTAACCTGCCAAAGCGTCAGGTGGGGTGGGGCCTCCTTACCGTTCCCTGGGTAACGTGCTGTTGGGAATCTGCTCATTACTGGAAGAGAGAACCAGGCTTAGGAGAGGTGATCTGTGAGTATATGGTGCCCAGCATCGAGAGCGCAGGTTTCTAGGCGTAGAGGGTCGTTTGAGCTCATTGGTGGTGCAGACAAGTGAAGCCACAGGGTGTGTTTAAACTAATCATGAGTCCAGATAGGTAGCTTTAGGACCGGTCTCCTTGAGTTAACATGTGGGGGACAAATTAATTCCTACGGTCTAGAATGGCCATCCTAAGGAAGGAGGTGTGGGGAGGATGGGCCACACCCAGTGCGGAACCCAGGCAGGTGGCATCCACCTGTCATGTGGACGATGTGAGTCAGCCCCTTTCCCCTCGTCTTGTCCATGTGCCCCCAGTGCCCCCAGGTGAGTCTGGTGTGTCTGTCCCAAAGAAGCATGTAGCCCTCCCCTCCCCTCCACACCAGGAGGCCCAGCCGGCCAGTCATCCCCCCACCATAGGTGCTAACTTCAGGGAAGAGCGTGCACACGAAGACGGAGGGGAGAGACACCTGGGCCTGTGATCTTGTTAAAGTCTGGCCGACCCTATGCCAGAAGAAGAATTTGCATCTGACAGCACACATGGGGACAGAATGTCTTTGTGCCTGATCCACCCCTTTCAGGATTTTCCACTATGGGCAGACGTGGGATTGGTACGCCTTTGTGTACTAATGTAGCTACTCAGTAACTGGGGAGCAGATGCTTTATATGCTGTGGGATTCATTCATTCACTTACGCATGCTAACCTTTTATTCGTTCATTCATATTGCCTCTTTATAATTGATCTTATTCAAAAAAGGATTGGAGATGACTCAAGCTGTGGTCTGCAGTGGGGGAACATAACTGGTTTCAACAGATTAAGATGGTTGTTGCTATCACCGCACATTTGATTTTTTTCAGTCCCTGGAATCTCTTAAAACTTTACTCCTAATAAAACTTTCATTTAGATTTTCAAAATGTGATTAAGTGAGCATTTCCTTTAAAAAAGTGACACTTAAAGTTTGGGCCCTTCCAGGACAGTATGATCCCTCTGTCCCATATCATTGGCGTCCCACGGAGTGGCCAGGGCTGCACTCACCTGGGATGTTCCTGTCTTTCTTGCTGACCACCAGCCACAGAGTCACGGAGTGCCTCACTGGTGCCATCTGAAATTGTGCTTATCCTGTCCTGTGGTTTCATCACTCCCGTGTTAGCTGGTGCTGCCATGCAGAAGCCACAGACTGGGAGGCTCAAACAGCAGACATTTATTGCTCATGGCTGTGGAGGCTGGAAGTCCAAGGTCAGGGTGCCAGCAGGGCTGGTTCCTCCTGACGACGCCTCTGTTCCTGGCTTGCAGACGGTGTCTTCTCCCTGTGTCCTCCCGTGGTCCCTTTGTGTGCACGCATCCCTGGTGTCTCTTTGTGTACCCAAATGTCCTTCTCTTAATAAGGATACTGGTCTGTTGGACTGAGGCCCACCCCAATGGCCTCATTTTAACTTCATTATCTTTTTAAAGGCCCTGTCTCCAGACACAGTCACATTCCCAGGTTCTGGGGATTAGGACTTCAAGATATGAATTTTGAGGGGGACACAGTTCAGCCCATTATATGTCTTTTCTACAAAGTTTGGAGCGTTTTCCTTAAATAAGCAAACAAACAAAACACTTGGTGTTCAGAAATCAGGAGAGCAAGAACCTTGTAAAGTAGATGGGTTAAGTTGCAAGTGTGGGTATACGCCAGACTTCAGAAGGTGAATGTCACAGTGCTGCGAAGGTTGTCAGGATCAAAATGGAGTTGCTTTTGTTAGTAGATGGGTTAAGTTGCAAGTGTGGGTATACGCCAGACTTCAGAAGGTGAATGTCACAGTACTGCGAAGGTTGTCAGGATCAAAATGGAGTTGCTTTTGTTAAAAAAACAAAACAAAACAAAAAAACCCTGAGAAATAGAGCTGGGAAGGCCATGAGAGAGGGTCCCATGCACGTACTACTGATAAAAATTTTCACAAAGGACTTTAGGAAACCACAGCCTTGCACAGAGGCCATCGCAACCCTGCACAGAGGTGTGCTGTGTGAGGACATCTGCCCAGCAACTGTCTGTCCAGCCTCAGACCAGCCTCACCCTTATTATTAATCTTCGTAGCCAAGGTTAGCTATCCCCAAACCATTGCAAACCTCTATCCTTTAAAACCCTTTTCCTTCCTCTAGCTCCCCGAATATGCACAGAGTTTACTACAGCATGTGTGTTCTCACTACAATGTTATATTCCCAATCAAACTGTTCTTTTAGAGAGGCCCTCTCTGTGTGTCACTGAGGTTCACAGTATCCTAGCTCATCGTGTTTCTCTGTTTTCTTCCCCAGCGTTGGGGTTTCCAGATCAAAAGATGTGCCACCTTTTGGCCCACCCATTCCCAAAGGCGTGACTTTTCCAAAGTCAGCAGTGTTCCGGGACTTCCTCTTAGCCAAAGTAATCAATGCAGAAAATGCCGCCCATAAGTCGGAAAAATTTCGAGCGATGGCCACTCGGACAAGGCAGGAGTACTTGAAAGATCTGGCAGAGAACTTTGTCACAGCTGCCACCGTGGACACCTCCGTGAAATTCAGCTTCATTACACTGGGTGCAAAGAAGAAAGAGAGAGTGAAACCGAGGAAGGACGCTCACTTGTTCAGCGTGGGGGCCATCATGTGGCACGTGGTAGCCCGTGACTTCAGCCAGTCTGCCGACATCGAGTGTCTTCTCGGGATCTCCAATGAATTCATCATGTTGATTGAAAAGGACTCCAAGAATGTCGTGTTCAACTGTTCCTGCAGGGACGTTATTGGGTGGACATCCGGATTAGTGAGCATCAAAGTGTTTTATGAAAGAGGAGAGTGTATCCTGCTGTCCTCCGTGGATAACTGTGCTGAGGACATACGGGAGATCGTCCAGCGATTAGTGGTAAGTCCACGTCTTGTATTTTCCACCGTCCTTGTGTTTCGGTCCCAGATTACTAGCAGCCTGCGCTGAGGGAGGTGATTTCAGCACTCGAGGAATGAGTTACTGTTCCCTGTGGACACAGAGCTTAGTTTTAAATCCTGGGTCCTTTTGAGCAGTGGCAGAAACAGGAATGGAGGCGGACCACCCGTCATACATCAATCAGAAAAGGAAAGTTAAGCCACTGTATTAGTCTGTTTTGTGTCACTATAACAGAACACCTGAAACTGGGTGATTTATAAAGAACAGAGGTTTATGTGGCTCACGATTCTGGGACAGCTGCATCTGGCATGGGCATCAGGCTGCTGCAACTCATGGTGGAAAGTGGCAGGAAGCTGGTGGGTACAAGCAGATCACATGGCGAGAGGAAGCAAGAGAGAGAGAGAAGAAGTGCCAGGGTCCTTTAAACAACCAGCTCTCACGGGAACTAGTAGAGCGAGAACTCACTCATTAATCCCCCCTCCCCCAGGGAGAGCATTAATCCATTCATGAGGGATCCGCCCCCATGACTCAATCAGATTCCAACACTGCCACGTTGGGGGTCAAATTTCCACGAGTTTTGGAGGGGACAGGAGCATTAATCCATTCATGAGGGATCCACCCCCATGACTCAATCAGATTCCAACACTGCCACGTTGGGGGTCAAATTTCCACGAGTTTTGGAGGGGACAGCACATCCAAACTCCATCAGCCAACTTTCAAAAGAGAATATTGGGATGTATTTTTGCAGTATTTGAAGGAAAAATATGAGACTTGTCTAGATACCACGTCTGTTTGGGAGACCGACCTGACGGACTTTCCCAGTGGGTAATTAACAGGCACGGACTTGCTGTTGACTGCATGAGTGACTGAGTCTAACTGCACTTCAGCTCTGTGTGTATTTATACAGCAGGTGTTTTTGTTTAATCTGCCAGATAAAGACATTATTAATCTTCCCCTTTCTTAAGTAGGTTTTACGTAATTACCCATTGAGTTAGAAAGACGTTTTAAAAAGTGAGTCCTAAAAGAGATTTTTCTTTTAATGTGACTTTTAGTACAAAGTCCCTAAGTTACATCTGTGGTGTTTAACAGTCATATTTCTGCTCCCAATCTTAGAAAAGCAAGATTCAGATTTTAGTTTGAATATGTACAATAGGGTAATAAGAATCAAACTATTTCCAGTTTTTATTGTTTTGGGTAATATAAGAAGAAAACATGCTTTGACAATAGAATTTCTCACTTGTAAATCTTCCCCCGAGGGGGATTTTTTTTTTTTTTAGCTGAAAAAGATTGTCAACTATAGATCACAAAGAAAGGAGAAATTATGTCCATCCACTTCTTGCCCCCATCCTCCCACCAGATGTAAATCTCCTTTTCATTATTAGAGACCCCGTGTAAGAAAGAATAAAACCAGGCCAGTATCTGTGGGCCTCAGAAAAATAATGTCATTATTTGCAGACGCTATTCCCAGTGAGGAGTCAGCGTGTTCAACAGTATTATCAGGTCTGTGTGTGCAGAACCAGGTAGCAGTTTCAGGGGATGATTAAGTGCATGATTAGTTTACGTGCCTAGAGAATTGACTCCTTGAGTCCCACTTGTGAGTCTCAGGATGCATTGTGCTTTTGGTGATTGCAAATACTTCTTTCTAGCTCATCTACTGAGTCATAATCTGTGCTCTTGAAAACACAGCACAAATGCCACCTCACCAACCACCGAAACGCACATCCCAGGGGTATTTACACGCAGGTCCTTACACATTCACTGTTGCGTGGGCCCATCCTACCGTTTCCCTACGAAAGTGCATGTCTGATGTGAACAGGGGGCCTAATCTGTGTCTAGGATGACTGCAGCACGGAGTATCGGAAACAGACCAACCTGGGGACTACTGAGGGCGTTAAGTCGTAGGGTTGGTATGGAGTAGTGACAGCAGGTACTTGGGGAAAGAGCAGGGTGCAGGCCGGTGGGACGCTGGGAGCAAGTGCCCGGCTGGCAGAGGATGAACTCGGTCTCCTTCTGTGGGGAAGGAACATGGAGCTGGAGACACCTGTTGGCAGGTGAAGACGTGGCAGGGAATGAGAGCTGTGCCTGAGGGACAGAGGTGCAGTCACCAGGAGAGCCTGGGCTTGGCTGAGTGCTCTCCCACTGCCATCTTGAAATTCTCAACAGTTTTGAGTAAGGGGTTTTTATTGTGCATTTTATTGAGCACCGGGCCCCACAAAGAATGTAGCCGGTCCCGGGGGCATGGATGGGGGCCACTGCTGTCTTGTGATTGTTGAGCTCATGTAAGTATATGAGGAGGTACAGATAAAGCAGTGTGTGGACCTTCAGACTTNGTTGAGCTCATGTAAGTATATGAGGAGGTACAGATAAAGCAGTGTGTGGACCTTCAGACTTTGGAGAACCCCCCTGTTCTCAAAAAAAAAAAAAAAAAATAGCCAAAAGCTATTTTTAGGGAAAAAAAAAAGAAAGAAAAAAATAAAGAAATAGCCAAAAGCCACAGCGGGTTGGTGGCAGGTGGCTGGAGGGAGACAGCAGGGGAGACAGCCTGGAGGGTTCTGGAAGAGCCCAGCCGGCCATTCTGGGCCTGACGCATGGGTGGTAAATTTCACCTGACAATTGCATTAATATTTGAAAGAAGGCAGGGCACGTTTTACATGTCGTCTTTTGGGAGGGTGCCTTAGGACAGCATGGAAAAAGGAGTGAAGGAAAAATGTATTTGGGTTGTAT